TTATTTATATAATACGACATTTAATAAAATGTTCAATTTTTAACAACTTTCAAACCAAAAATATTTTAATCACTAAATGAAAAACTAACTAAAATATTTAATAATTAATCATAATAGAAATAATATTTCTCATAAACTATAACATAAATTATCTGAACAATAAATAATCTAAACCAAGTTGTTAATCATATTATTAAAAATATAGTATTATCAGTGAACTATATTAATAATCATCAGTATCATATTACCATCATATCATCAAAAAGGTAACATTAAAATCGTGAACGTTTACGAATTACGCAAGAAATAATTCATTAATTACATAATTAAACGTTCACCTCGTCGGCAAGCGAATTAGAAGCCCCGCAATATAAAAGCATCTTTCTAGGAACGATAAAAACAAAACGAAGTCGTGATGTAAGATCGAGTTGCCTGGTTAAAATAAGAGAACAGATGAAAGGATGTTGTGGCCGACCGAGGAAATATAAAGTAGAAAACGATAGCGTTATCAACGGATTGAAGTAAGCGAAGGTGAGTCTCGCTCACGATGTATGTATCATAAATAAAAAATTATCATCGGCTGCGTATTAAACGTTGCTCCGTACACCTCATTCGTGATATTCCGTTTCGAAAACAAATGAATCGATGATTAACCAAAACGGACACGAATGCATGGGAGAAGTTGAATTTTGGGAATTTTGGGGGTTTTGGAAAATTTATGAATTTTGGAAATTTTAGGAATGTGGGGAATTTGGAGAAATTTGTGAATTTTGGGACTTTTGGGAATTTGGGAATTTTGAGAATTTGGGAATTTTGGGAATTTGGGGATTTTGGAAATATGGGGATTTTGGGAATTTGGGGATTTTGGGAATTTGGGGATTTTGGGAATTTGGGAATTTTGGGAATTTGGGGAATCTTGGAAATTTGGGGAATTTTGGGAATCTTGGAAATTTTAGGAATTTTGGGGATTGGGGGAATTGTAGGGATTTGGGAATTTATGGAATTTGGGAAATTGGGAATTTTGGAATTTTGGAATTTTGGAATTTTGGAATTTGAGAATTTGGGAATTTGGAGAATTTGGAGAATTTGGAGAACTCTAGGAATTTGGGAAGCTTGGGAATTTTTGCGATTTGGGGAATTTAGGGACTTGAGAACTAGGGAATTTAGTGATTTTAAAGATTTGGAAATTTGAGGATTTGGAGATTTAATAATTTGGAGATATGGAGATTTGGAGATTTAGAGATTTGAAGATTTGGAGCTTAGGAAATTTGAGAATTTATGAATATATAAATTTTAAAATTTAGAAATTTGTAAATTTGGGGAATAAAAAGTTCTGAGAATTCGAGAGTCCAGGAATTTGGATTACGAAAATTTGACAATTTAAGAATTTGACAACATAGAAAGTTAGGAATATGAGAACTTAAGAACTTGCAAGTTTCATTTGCCATCAACAAATATTTAACTATTATAAAAAATTCTGTATTCAATAAACAAATGCACATAACTATATCAAAAACTATTCCAATATCCCCACCCCCATTTTAACATCAATTACTAACACGTTTGTACATAAAATTTCATCTAAAAATAATATCAAAACCTATTAGAGAGTTTCGCGCGGCTTTTTGAAGTTATACCATGAGGGAGAGCCGTTCACGTCAGCAATTAGCTCGACCAGCGTCTCTGGGAGTATCTTCAATTAAACAATTACGGTTAAATCGAGCGGAATTTCCAGCGTTGAACCCGCATGCTCGTTAAGAAGTATACGAGTTTCACCTACGTGGCGACGATTCAACGAAGGTGGCACGAAGTCGTCGTCGAAGCGGTAACCTTTGACCAGGTACCACGTGTGCCCACATATTTCGATCCACGGTAATTGTGAGTCACGAGAAGAGCCCGCTGCCGAATTTAGATCCGTGATAAAGTCAATTCCACCGATCCCCTAGCCAGTTAATTCTCCTCTGGCTCTTCTGCGCGCCAGCATTTATGTGAATTGACGCATTCAATCGGTAACGAACCCTGAGCCGTACCGTACCTTGAACGGTCTTTCTTGGAGAACACAGATATCGCACGCTCACGATAAATCGTCCGTGGACCTTGAAGTCGTAGGCTACTTTCTCGACTGAGTCATTTTCGGTCGGATCGTTCCCTAATCTCGACTGATACATTCTTCTGGAAAATCGATCAATACTCTACTATTTTAATTGTCACTGATATTCCTAAAATTTCTGGTTATTTGGTAGAATTTTAGGAATTGCAACATCGATCATAAAAGTTTCACCTCTTATTTATTTGCAACCTTGTGTAACCTTTATACTTTTCATTTAGTATTATAGTTCAAAGCTTAAGTTCTTGCACCAACCCTTATAATAAGAGAACTTTGTCTCCATGTTTGTTGTAGCCTCTGAAACTTTATACTTGATACTTTTCGTTTAATAGTAAATTACATGTGATCTTATGGTGACCTTGTAAATCTGACCTCTAAAATTAATAAACTTGACTGCAATTTTACTCGAATCTACAGACTAGGATTTAATGGAGTAGTTAAAATGTAGATAAACAGTGAATGAAATGTCTAAATGAAATAGAATAGAGAACGAAAATGTTAGGTTTTATAGAAGAAGGTCGATATCCCCAACATACGAAATTGCACTGGTATATCGCAACTGTGATCCAGAGATCCGCTCAGACTAGCAATCGGTCGTACGGGGGTGAAAATCGTGGCACGTGACCCGCGGGTACTCGTTCACAGGGGGAAGTTAGCCCTGCACCATCGACCCTGTTCTTTCTAAGAGTTACCTTTACTGCGTTTACTATTCTCCATTGTGCATGGCTACCATACGGGACCCGTGCAAAGGAGGCTGCGAGAGAGATCGTGTGAGTCATCCCTGTCGAGCTGTTCCCAGTGGCGTAGATACTAATTGTACAGAAATAAATCTTGTACGTGTATTTTTTACTATTGCTGTTCTACTGTTTTATTACTTTGCCATTTTATCATTTTACAATTTTATAAGTTTGCAATTTTACAATTTTACAATTTTTCAATGTTACAATTTTTCAATGTTACAATTTTTCAATGTTACAATTTTTCAGTGTTACAATTTTTCAGCGTTACAATTTTTCAATGATAAAATTTTTCAATTTTACAATTTTTCAATGTTATAATTTTTCAATAGTACAATTTTTCAATGTTACATATTTTCAGTGTTATAATTTTTCAATGTTACAATTTTGCAGTGTTACAATTTTTCAATGATGACATTTTTCAATGTTACAATTTTTCAATGTTACAATTTTTTAGTGTTATAATTTTTCAATGTTACAATTTTGCAGTGTTACAATTTTTCAATGATACAATTTTTCAGTGTTACAATTTTTCAGTGTTATAATTTTTCAATGTTACATATTTTCAGTGTTATAATTTTTCAATGATACAATTTTTCAATGTTACAATTTTGCAGTGTTACAATTTTTCAATGTTATAATTTTACAATTTTACCATTTTGCTATTTTATCATCTTTCTATCTTAATATTCTACGATCCACTATTTCATTATCTTATCATTATCATTCAGTGTCATTTATTATTTCAATATTTTACTATTTACTTGTTCTACTATTTTATTTTATTGTATTTACAATATATTATTTGATCATACTATACTCTACTATTATACTGTTTCATTGTTGCACAATTATTAAAATGTATATCTACAAAAACATCCATAAGCAAGTCATAAAATAATAGTATAAATTTCTACAGTTCCAGTCTACTATTTTATTGTTTCATTTCAGAAATTCTTTTAATTTTCCTACAATTGGGTTAAGCTCTATACCATTATTCCACAACTTACTTGTAAAATGTATATATTAATATGTACATAAATTATAATTTTAAATATAATCTTGTAAATATAATCTTTTAAATATAATCTTTAAATATAATCTTTTAAATATAATCTTTAAATATAATCTTATAAAGAACATACAATACAATTTCACACAAATCTAAAAAATCCTTTTCCACAACAAAAATTCATATAACTTTCACACTAAAAAGAATTCGAATTCCTTTTCAGAATACCATTTCTAAAAAACTCAGAGACATAAAATACCTCCCATCGCGCATCCCCAGCGCCATTTTGTGCCGCGTTTTCAAACGGGCGGGAAAGTGAACTCAAAAGCCGAAAAGTAGAAGATTTCGCAGAAGTAGCACTAAAAATGTTATTTCCAAAAGGAAGCAGTCCAATCCGTCACTGTACCTTGCATTCCATGATAGGAACTTAAAAAAAGACCGCCTCGCGAGCGGTCTAAAAAAAGTCTTTACGAGTTCCATTTTCCAGAAGACCGTGAAGAGAAACACCGTCGTTCGCTACTTACACGGGGGGCAACGATGTGTATTTCATTTTAAATGGCCGTTCTGTCGCGTAGGTGACTCTCGATATTGCCTCCCGATCCACCGACGAGAATCCTCCGTTGTTCGCGTAACGATTTCCTTTGTTCGTCGCGAGATAAAAGCGTCGACCCTGGACATCCGAACACGTTTGGCCCGCGGAGACGATGCTGCTTTCGTGGAGACCATAACGCGATCATTAAGGAAGAAACGCTTTGGCAGTGCTGTTTAGTCGGTCACACATGACTCCGTCGACGACGTTTAAGTCGATTTAATTTTCGATGGATGCGGGCGAGCCATACAATTATGATTCTGTGTTACGGAGACAAGTAATATTGTGACGAAAGTTAAATTCCTAGAAATTTAGAGATTCTCCAATTTCTAAATTCTTGAAAATGTCATGAAATTTGCTAAATCCTTGCCGTATGATTAGTTTGTCAGATGCGTCTAAGTTTGTAAATATAATCCACTTGCACCACTACAATAAAAAAGTGCAACAAAGTGCCTCGTCAAAAAGTACAACAAAGTTTGTACAAGTTATTCAAATAACATAACTACCATTCTATTAAGAATATATTGTATTAATATTGATGAAAATATATTGCAGATAACTCTGACGAAAATCATCTACCTACGTCACTGTGTTCAGCCTCGATGCATCAGTCCGGCTTGCATCTGTATGTATTTATGCTGGGGGAGCCCCTATGTGACATCATCCCCCTCCATGCGTGCGGCTGATTCGTTTCGCTGGCTGACTTCTGTCGCCTAACTCCAAAACACCCCTGGACCCTGCCACCTCCCTTTACCTTTAATCTTTATCAATCCATCCAGCCGAGCCAGAATCGAACCAAGGAACGGACGGCGCCGTGCATTATTCACGCCCGATAGCTCCCTCAACCCTCCTCTGTGTCCTTCGAGCTTTGCCTTCCACCACCGACGCCAACCACCCTTTTTCTACCTTCGCTAAATACTTTCTCTCCGTTTCTTCTCTAACTCGCCATCTTCGCCTACGCACGCGAAATATTATCTCGATGCAATTGCGTGAACACCCCCGTTCACCCACCCCCGGGTTTACCGAAACCCCGGAAAATCGAGCGATGACACATTTTTCTAAATATAGTTTCGTAATTTCGCGTTCTTTGTGATACGTGATAAGAAATTATTTATATTTGCAAAATTCCAAATTAAATCTCGAAATTGCACCTTCGAAAATACATACATTTGTTTTTCGTGAAATATTTTTAAATACGAAGGGGTTTGATATGGCTTTAATAATTAAGAATGTTTTATTATTTTTAAATCGACAAAATTAGGAAATGGATTTGGACAGCTAGATCATTTTCAAATTATTTGATCATTTCGCAGGTTTCGACTGAATGGGAAACCTCCCGAATTTGTTCACGGGTCATTAAATCGGGGTTTAAGCCGAAATAGGCGTACAGGTGGGTGGAGTCTCGTGAATGATCGCCACACCTACTAATCATCGTTCGTTTTCGTTCTTTTACCTGAGCGAAAGGTAGGTGTAAGGAAGCTCGAAGTATACCTTTAAAGCTACCTGTAATTGGCTAACTATTTCTCCATCTTACTCCATTTTCTTGAGTCAATAATTTATAGCTATATCTGTAAACAACGTTCTTGTTTTAACTTTCTTTATGACTGCAAATTATTGTTTTATTTCAATAATTAATCCTTATGTATATCTCCTACTTGTTAGTGTATTGTATTGTATTTTATGTATAATATCTCAAGTAATATTACTTGTGAATTTGTAGTAAAAATAAAATTATTTTAATTATACATATTTGTAGTATTTATACTGAATAAAGTTCTTACATATTATAAAAATTAAATTATATACCCCAGATATTATCCCTAACTTTTAATTGTAATCTTTAATTAAAGTAATTAAATTTTTAGACGTCTTGATTGTTAATAAAATTATTTTAAATGATATTTATATTTTGTTCAAATATTTCAGAATGAAAGTAAACATATTTTGTTAAAGAATAGGTTAATAAAATATATTGAAACTTTTTTTTATCTCTTTATTTACTGTTTACATAATGTTCACCTGAAACGATCGTCTTTCATCGTTTAAATTCGTAAATAAGCTATACTTCCGGTTGCTACGTCATACGCAACTCGTTCGATGACGTCGCGTTCGCAAAGGCATCCGTATCGTACCATTCGTACGCTTCCTTTGTACACCGAGTTTCTACCAATCAGAAAGTCGATAAACGGTACATGAATATTTTTCGAACGCGTTAAAAACCAGCTCGTGGAAAATTATCATAAATTGCATTCTCGTATGTGTTCGATTTTTCTTTCACAATAACTTTATCGTATCTTAGATAATATTTCTGTAAATTGTGTACGTTTTCAAGCGCGCTGCAATTAACTCGGTGAAAATTGGGAATGTTGATAAATATACAGGGCCGCATTCACCGAAAGTCATATTAGGCGTCTTTTTACCAAATCTACAAAGTTAATTGTTGATTCTAAAAAATTCTACATGTTCAAATATCCGAATTGCTAAAGAAAAATTCCAAAATTTGCAAGTACCCAAATTTCCAAATCCACAAATTTTTATTTCTTGAATTTGTAAATCTCTGAATCAGCAAATTTGCGAATTCCAAAATTGCCACATTCTCGAATTCTCAAATTCCCAAATTTCTTACTTCCAAAATATTTGAGTTTCCACATTCTGAAATTTCGTAATTTATAAATACCACAATTTATAAATTTTCAAGAGCACAATTAATAATATAATATGTCGATGCACGTATAAATAATAAATCCATTATTAAAACAATGTTGCACCGAGGGCCTCGAAAAATATAAATGCGGCTCTGTAAACATGACCGTTCGAACGAACCTATCAGCGTTTCGCAAGTGTGGCCCGTGATTCCTTGCGCGTTGGAGTTCAGATCAAGGTTTTCTGATCGGTCGTCATAGTTTGAGGAGGTGAAAAGTCTGGCGGTGCTTACTCGATATTCTTTATGAAATCTTACATTTAACGGTTGGCTCCTGAAACCCGTTCGTAGCCGTAAGTACAACAGCCCGATCGCCTTCGCGTCAAAGAGCCTAACTCAAGAATTCGTATTGCAACGTACGCGAGAGCTCGAGATGCTTCCAGACGAACGTCACTCTTTCTGTTCCCGTCGATGCCAAAATGTCTAATCTAGCGCATCTACCGCAAAGGATAAAATACGTCGTAAACAAATAATCGTGGTTTCCCATCATGCAATTTCCATCGTATTACGTTTTGATACATTGTATCTGCGAGACTACACCCCGTCTCCGTCATTGTCATTGAATTAATACCTAACCCTCAATAGCTTATTGTCAAGCATTTCAAGGTATTTCTATAACCCCCCATTGACGACTTGCCTACCGATCACTAAATAATCTGCACATTTTCTGTCGCCTTTGTTTCACGTATAAGTGAACATGTTTTAGCGAAATCATTCAGTAACTTTGTTATATTGGTACAAAATTGTTATTTTTGTCTCTCATTGTAACTGTTTCTTCCATCATACCATGTATGTACATATTTGACCATATTAATACTAAAGTGATGAGACTTTTTTTTATTGAAATATTGTTAATACCAATAATGAGATTTGGTATTATTCATAATATGATAAAAATAATTTTATATATATATGTAGGTACATGTATAATCAGTCTCAAAAATATTTGGATACTCTTTAAAAGCAGAATAACTTTTTCCACAGGTAAATCAAGCAAGTTGAATTCTTTTTAGTTATTTTGAACTAATAATTCTGTTATTTTGAAAAAATTGTATTTGGTTAAAGTAAACAAAAAAAAAATGAAATTCATTTGTATCTTTGCTACTATGATCAGTTGTAATTTTTTTTAAATAACAGGAGCATATCAAGTGATCTCTTTAATTGTTAAAAAAATTCAAATAGATTCAACTTTAAAAGAGTTATTTTGTTTTTAAGGAGTATTTAAATGTTTTTGAGATCAAGTATACAAATATGTGTACATATACTTAGAATGTCCTAATTCTTTTCAACAAAATTGTAGGTTTTATATTTGTTTTTACTTGTCTAAAAAATTTTAAGGTATTATGTAATAAATTAGACTTTGATTAAATGTGTGTATTAACTATACCTTGAAATGCCTATAATTAAAAATTGTAGATGTTTTATCTATGATATTTAATAAACAATCTTTTGCACTAATTAAATAATAATTTTACATTTTTTAGATGTCAGTCACATCTACGCATAAATATCGTTACAAAAATGTGGGCTTGGACTCACAAGAATTACGAAGACGCAGGGAGGAAGAAGGTGTACAGTTAAGGAAACAGAAGCGAGAACAACAGTTCTCAAAAAGACGCAATGTTCCTAATATGGTAGCTGAGGATGACAGCGTTGCAACGGATGAATTTATATATCCTGCACTACAAGCAGTAATTTCTGAGTTCTTGAATTTTAAACTGAATTTATTGTATAAATTCACTGGTGTAAAAATGATATTTAATTTTACTTTGTTTACTGCAGCAAGTACCTACCATAACACCTGAAATAGTGCAACAACTGTACAGTCCTGATCCAGAGGAACAATTGGTAGCTACACAAAACTTTAGGAAAATGTTATCCAGAGAACCGAATCCTCCTATAAATGAAGTTGTAGAAACGGGAATCGTACCTAGATTCGTTGAATTTTTACATAATAATGACAACTGTACTCTACAGGTTAATAAACATTTTCATAGTAGATAAAAAATTTATATGCAAATCAGGATAACGAAAACGATACATGTAACTATTTTAGTTTGAAGCAGCTTGGGCTTTAACAAATATAGCAAGTGGAACGTCTCAACAAACGCGTGTAGTGATTGAGACAGGGGCTGTACCCATCTTCATATCATTACTTGGTTCTAAGTACGAGGACGTTCAAGAACAAGCTGTCTGGGCATTGGGCAATATTGCAGGAGATAGTCCTGAATGTAGAGATCATGTATTAGCCAATGGAATTCTCCCTCCTCTACTTCAGTAAGTTTTGGTTGTAGTAGTTTGGCAATTCTAAATTTCTAGTTTTTAATATATATCTGAATGCTATAAAATTAATTGTTGTTTACTTTAGACTTCTTTCGAAAACAACACGTTTATCAATGACACGCAATGCAGTATGGGCATTATCAAATCTTTGTCGAGGCAAGAATCCAACACCAGATTTTGCGAAAGTTGCGCCATGTTTACCAATTTTAGCTCATCTTCTTAACCACACTGATACTGACGTCCTTGCTGATGCCTGTTGGGCTCTTTCTTACTTAAGTGATGGACCGAACGATAAGATTCAGGCAGTTATCGATGCAGGAGTTTGTAGACGTCTAGTAGAGTTGCTTATGTAAATACATAATCCACATTATTCAATTATACTTATAAATCGCGCAAACAAAAAGCAAGAAATTTTGTATTTCAGGCATGAACAGCAAAACGTCATCAGCGCGGCTCTTCGAGCAGTGGGTAACATAGTTACAGGTGACGATGTACAAACGCAGGTCGTTCTTAATTGTTCCGCATTACATTGCCTGTTTCATCTATTGAATTCATCTCGAGAAACTATTCGCAAGGAAGCTTGTTGGACAATCTCTAACATCACAGCCGGAAATCCTCAACAGATTCAGGTTTCTAGATATAATTAGGAATGTTATATGTAAAATCACTTAAAGCTAACAAGTTTTTTCTTCTAATAGGCTGTTATTGAAGCTAAAATATTCCCTATCTTGATTGATATTTTGGGCAAAGCCGAATTCAAAACTCGGAAAGAGGCAGCTTGGGCTATTACGAATGCCACCAGTGGTGGTACGCCTGAACAGATACGTTATCTTGCCTCAGCAGGATGCATTCCACCGTTATGCGACTTATTAACAGTAATGGATTCTAAGATTGTCCAGGTCGCATTGAACGGTTTAGAAAATATCTTACGTCTTGGAGAGCAGGATGCTGCCGAGCATAATGGTATCAACCACTATGCAATGTTGATCGAAGAATGTTACGGTAAATATAATGTGAAACATGGGTGTAGCCAGCACTTAGTAAAAATAGTAAAATTTTACCGTCCCAGATTATTAAACGAATCGCAATGTTTCAGGCCTAAACAAAATTGAATTTTTGCAATCGCATCAGAACATAGACATCTATGAGAAGGCCTTCAATATGATTGAACGATACTTCGGTTCGGAAGAAGAGGATGCGCGAGTCGTTCCTACCATAGATGCGCAAGGACAGCAATATCAGTTCAGAGCACCCGATTCATCTCAATTACCAGTTCAAGGCTATGAATTTTAATTTTGATCGAGCCTCCAAATGTATCCACCGGGTTCAATCTTGTTTCGTTCATTGAATGTACGACTGTTTCTCGTAAAAAAAAGGACAATCTTCAAAATGGAAAATCGATCAGATACAAAAGAATGGTATATTTATACGTATACTTCGAATTCGTTTGTATGGAAACAGAATATCAGTAAAAATCTCGAAGTAATCAGGTTTTTGCTCGACGATAAAGATGAGTAAAATGTTTATACGCAGTTATTTTTAGTGGTTTTTCTCTTATTATTTTTAGCTACACCATACGCATCGCTCTAAGTTCATTACAACGCGATTACTGTGTTTAACAAACCTATCAACAAATTGCAACGGCCGCTTTCTATTGAGTGGTCATAGCAGTTTGAATAGGTTTATTTTTCAAATTCGTGCATACGCCGTATTTAGTATGACACGTTCAGTTGATTAAAATTTAACAGATATCTTAGTGCTTAAGTAGATAAGTACGGAAACAATGATCAGGACGATTTACTTGAGATAGACCTGTACCTTGTACGACCTACGACTGACTCAGAATTACGAAAAATACTTGCACAACCGGCAAGACACTAACGACTGAAGTACGCGACTACGTAGCCAACACGGACAACATTACGCAACGCGGTACTCACATCCTTACTACATTAGGTAGGAACATGACCAATTATAAACTTTTTTACTGTAAATACGTATCTTGTAATTTTAAGGCTATTCTATACAGAGTGCCCTTAACAATCGAAGCAGCGCTTGTGTCCAGACCAGCAATATTTCTAATTTTTTTTATTATACAGAGCGCGATTCACCTAAGTGTGCTGCCTGAATTTCTTGTAAACTGTGTGTTACATACAGTGCTACTGCTAGTAACTGGCAATATGAAAACAATGCCCCAACGTTAACGACGATACTGACTGGATGAAAAAAATGATTGAAACAAAAGTTGTGTGTTACCAAGGGAGCAATGTAACATAACAGTTAGTTGATTGTAGTTTTACTGTTTTTTAATCAAAGTATGAAAGTCACTTTAATTTTTTAATTGTAATAACTACAATTTGACCTTGCAATTGAAAAAGCGTTGAACGCTAAATGAAAGATTGGTATCTACGGATCTAAAAACTAATGAAGATCAAATTTTCCCTAGTACAATTAAAAAATTAAATATAATTTTCGTATATCCATAAAAAAGCAAAACTATAATAAACTACTTATTGTGTGCCTGCTCCTTTAAAACTATACAACTAGGTTTTCATATAACAAACAATTTATAAGTAATATAGGTGGCACACTTATATAAATCATCCTGTATATAAATATTCTATTTAATATCGGCACAAGCGTATTTTTTAAATATTTTGTTTATCGTAATTTATTAAATTACAAGATTTTTTTACACGTTTCTACACTTACGTTAACAATATTATACACATAAAATATTTGATGAGAAATAAGAATAGTTATGTTTAATTATACAAATTTTAACAAGCAAATTTTTTGTTTTCTTTTTAAATTTTACATCTCAAAATCGTCAAAATCAAAATTGTATTAATAAATTGAAAATCTTTTATTTTATTTCTTTTTTTCGCGTATACGAAACAAATTGATCGTATTCGCAATTGTACAGCACATTCAATTTTGGACATTCTGTATAAAAGGTCTGTGACTGTATAAAATGTATTTATTATTTAGGTTTGACGGTACCACGCTACATTATGCAAGATATATATATAAATATAAATATAAATATAAATATATATATAATTATATATATATATATATATATTACCTACTTTTAGTTACGGACGTGAATTATTACGACAGAGGAGGACTGTATTATAAAAATCATGTAAGTGACCACTTTGTTAATACAATACTTTAACAAGGTGTGTACTTACAAGTATTTGTTGCCAATTTATATTGCTTACTCAAATAGAATGTAAGCATATCGGAAGTAATTTTGCCATTTTATGTTGTTGCACGCTATTCTTTTAAATAAAAACACCTTAAAGTTTTATTACCGAAAAAGAATCATGCAGATATTTATTTTTACAAATCTATTAATCAATCTGATCTTCCTCAATTATATATATATAAATATATGTTTTATATAAAAGTTATAAAATTTTGATACAAAGTACTTGTTTATAATTTATTTGTTACTATTTAATTATAAAACCAAAATTGTATTGAAATTTATAAGTATTACAATATTAAATTCTCTTCGATGCATGCGATTTCATGTGTGAGATATTACGAGATAAACGCATTGTAAATTGGCAATTCAGGACACGCAACTACGTGGACAGTAGACCGACATATTACACGTTAAAATAAAAGTGCGATACGACACATACGAAGTGAACTTACTCATTATATTTTATTTTATAGCTATATAAACACGTCATCTATGAACGTAATTGAAATCATGCCAGAGGCATCGATCTTGTTGTTATATTTTTTGAAAATTTGTAGAAACCAGCAAATCATCATTGGAAATCTTTATCTAAAAATGTTGATTTTCTGTACTGTCATTTGACATAACAAAATAAAGTTGAATATTAATACACAAAAATGTTTATTTAATGTTTGATACATTTATAAATTACTACCTACTATAACACTTCCGATTAAAAACATTATACACATATATATAACTTATCATACTTTTACTTTCATTAAGAAATCACAGCCCCTAATTTATTTATTTGTGCCTGAGGAAAAGAACAATGTGAATGATTGAAACTTGTACTTGATTCTGGTAATATTGGTACAATAATCCCATCTGTGATTCTAGTTATCAGTGGATCTAAAATATCCTTCTCTATTTTGCCTGATAATTTTCTAACTAATCTTTTCTCCACAAATTCTAATTCCTTTTGAGATAGTGTGTAGTCGTCTACAAGCATTGTTATAATGTAAATGGCATTCTCAACCAAAGGAGTTTCTCTATCACAAAAATTATGAAATGCTTTTATTGCCTCCGTATTAATGTTCAATATATCCTGTATAATCTAAAGAAAGAAGACAAGTGAATGATTAATTTCTAAAATAGCTAAAACTTTAAAATATGAATTATGCTACTATAAGAAAACAAAATATATATAATACTCACTACTGATGGCTTTTTCAAAATCTGTATTTTTAAATTATAAATAACTTGTCCAACATCATTTGCGAAATCATTTGGTGTTAATGTTAAATAATCTTTGTTACCTAAAACAACACCACCCAACTGACCAAGCAATTGTGCTAAGCAGTTCAAAGTATTTGCTTCTTTTCCAAATAAAACAATAATCGAAGGTTTCTTAGGATACAAAACTACATCGTATATTGCAGCTGATATATCATTCCAAATGCTAGGTTTCTGATTGTAAAACTGTGCTTTAATTATCTGCATTGATTTATCTAGCATCTGATCTACTTCTCTCAAATGTACTTTTCTAGTTTTCACTTCAGTATTCTTAACTATTTCTTGATTTATATTTTTAGTAGGAGTAACAAAGTAAATGATACTGATAATTATGATGAGAGCGATGATGCTATATAAAAATATATTAAAATACTGTGTTTCTGATTTTACATGAGGTTGACTTCGCCGTTTTGGAATTGGAGAAGAGGTAGTAACATTGGCAGATTGGTTTGTACTTCGATTACGAAAACTTTGTTCTTGCACTCGTGTAAAGGAAGGATAATTATGTGCACTACTAAATGATTCTAATAATACATTTTGTGATGAATTATTTAAAGTTTTGTTACTATATCTACTACTATTATCATTTTGTTCATAGTCATCATCTTCATCATCTGTACATTCGATTTCATCGTCAGAAGAATCAGAAAAATTTGAATTATGTTGCTTAGGTTTGTACATCTTTTTTTTTTGCAACAAACCTACAGAATGTTTTAAAAAATTTGTTTGAAGCAAATTGATATTTCTTATTGATGGACGTGCTTTAGGAATAAGTGATTTAAAGAATTCTTGATCATGTTCCTGGAAAATTTACAACTCGTTTCAAATACTCACTGATTGATTAACCTTATGTGTAATATATCGTTCTTATATTTATGCTTATTGAAATAATAAATATACATACACCCAACTCTTGCATTTTTTATCAAATCAAAATATAAATACATTATGCTTGATGATAAATTAACACTTGTACAGATGTTTAAAATTAACTGTCACGGTATATTATTGATATTATTTGTATGAATCAATGATATAGGAAAACCACTTGTTAAAAGTGTATTGAAGATGTTATTTTGTGTTATAAAGATCGCATGTCGTCAGGCTTCTGATTCCTCCGACAGTTCCACATGAACAAAACAGTAACAATTTGATAAATGTACATACAAATTTCATTATAAATATATTGGATACTGTATTAAATATTTTTGTTTATTTATGTTGGTAATCCTATAAGCGGAATTGTCTCATGAATAAAAAGAACTTATTCGTTCAACAGGAAACATAATTATTCTACAAGTTTTCGTTCATTTTGCGCATGTTAGCTTTGATTGGTCAAAAAATCCTCGTAGTCAGATTCAATGTATATATCTAGTGATTATTTTATTTTACATTTCTACATTATACATCAACATTTCTTCTTCCCACTTATTTGTATATTTTTGGTCACCGTATATATAGCTGTTGAAGTCGAAACAAATAGAACGCAGCCTACTGAAGTCAACCGCAATGCACAATTTGTGCATGATCTTTCGCTGAACGAATAAAACATGTGATCACAAAAATGATGGGGAGAACTATTCACATAAACATAGACAATTATGATATGTTATTCATTTCACGAAATTATATTTTGTAATAACTTGATATGTAGTTATTTTATAAAGATAATAATTTGCTGAACTTAAATTCAATGATAAATTTCCTATATAGAAAAGTAAAATAAAACTGATATAATTTACTTGAATATTTCTTAATAATTAGAAATAAATAATTGATTACTAATCGGTTATTATATTTTCATCGAATTTGTTTCATGAAATATAAAAAATCGTCAATTTTAATAAATATTCGACATTGGTGCCACCATTGGTATGCCCACATATACATATGAGCTGTAACGGAATGTGTTGCAGAGAAAAATATACTCTTACAGATTTAATAAACAACCGTAGGCATTGTTCGATTGTAATAGACATATCAAGTACCTGGTTTAGAGAGTTTAAAGGATATTTTAGGACAGTTTCATGGTGACGGCATGTGTGTTGATCCGTTAAAGAAAATATGCCATTGGGGTCCGATTACTGCTCTTGGTAGGTGAATCGGAGACAATTTCAATCGTTTTTATCAAACTCTGAATAAAGAAAGTATTTATTACATTTAAGTTTTAGAAGCGATAACATTTTGAGCTGAATATTAATGTATTTTGATTATGTTTCATCACTATACAAGAGATAAATTAAGTGTCGAAATATCGTAAAAATGCATGTGACAGTTAACTGATTCCATTTTGTTTTATCGTATTCCTAGAAAACCCCGCGAAATTCAAAGATCCTTCGATTTAGGTTCAATATTTTACAGAATAAGAGCTTTCTAATTTTTAAATGTTGTTTTAGGAATTATAAAAATAATTACCCTAATGACAATATACTGTAGTAGACAACGGTGGCCGCCACAAGAAAGTTTTTTTGGAACAGTTAATTTCATTCTTTTCTTTTGTCTTAGTGGATCTACACTTTTTCATTTTATAAGTGCTATTTATGAAGGGCCTGGATTCCTTCCCTTGAAATGGATGCCAGTAATATGTCTTTAAAATTATTCCTTAATAAAACTATTAAATCTTTTAAAATAATGTTAATGTAAAATATTTGTCCATAGGAAAAAGCAACAGACACTCAATATTTGCAATATTGTGCTGTATGCGAAGGATATAAAGCACCTAGGTCTCATCATTGTAGAAAGTGTGAGATTTCATATAATAATTTCATATAATAAACTGATGTTCAACATAGCTTATTAAATTAATTTATAACTTTCAGGTGGACGTTGTGTACTAAAAATGGATCACCATTGTCCATGGATAAACAATTGTGTAGGACATTTTAATCATGGGCATTTTACAGTATTTTTGGCAAGTGCAGTTGGTGGATGTTGTGTTTCTACTTTTACACTAGTTTCTTGGGTGATGACAGTATTATTTTTAAAACCATTGTCATTTCCACCACCTTCTGTGTTTATTCTGATACTAGTTATTTTCAGTATTGGTCTGTCAATTGGTGTTATTCTTGCAGTTGGAACATTACTTTATTTTCAAGTAAGATTATTTGATCAGATACATTCATATGTATATTCTTATATATAAATGTATATAATTTTAATTATTTTCAATCTTTGTAGCTACTAGCTATAATTAAAAATAGAACAGAAATAGAAGCTTGGATTTCAGAAAAAGCACATTATCGAAGGTTTGGAACTAAAGATAAATTTGTTTATCCATATTCAAAAGGATGGCGTTTTAATTTACGACAAGTCCTTACATGGGATTGTACTCCAGTAGGTGATGGTATAAATTGGCCTGTAATTGAAGGCTGTGACCAATATACATTAACAGTAATGTTTTATTTATTTATTTATAAATAAATATATATTTCAAACAAAGATTTTGAACCGATATATATTATATTTTAGCGAGAGCAATTAGCACAAAAAAGAGATAAACGAAAAAGAGCAAAAACCTACAGAGTGATAGAAGAAGCGTCCGGATCATGGTTACCCCTAAAACATGGTTGGGGTGTATTTTGTCATCCACCATGTACTGATGAATCTCGCATTAAACTCAAAGTCGGAGATATTGTGGTCGTAACTCGGTGGAAGAAGTATGTTCAAATTATCTTTTAAGGTAGCTGTTTAGTTATTTTAGTGATATATTCAAAATAATGAAATATTGTGTAGATATTGGCTATTTGGAGAAACGAAAAGAAACAACGAAAATGACAAGCAAATTCGGAATCGAGGTTGGTTTCCACGACCTTGTGCAATTGAAGTGATTGAAAACGAAGAATATTCTTCCGCCTTAACCAAATCAGATTGAAACATTCCTTTTTGTGTAGAATTTTTATAAAGTATTTATAAATTTACTATTGTGGTAAACGATCATATTTTTAACTAAAATTTTATATGTAAATGTTTACAATGAACATGCGTTTTTATATATGTATTTCGATAGTATGAAAAATAGTCATGAAGAGTCAAGCCTGATTCAGGCCTGTACCCATATTGTGTCCATTCCTTTCACGTAGATTGTGGTCTGTATATGATATAAAAAACAGTGGTTATCGTTAATAAGTACGACTTTTCAAGATATGATCGTATATTAAAAATAATTATTTTTTATATATTCTAATAAGTGAATGTATATGATGTCCACTGAGTTTGTACATGACAAGTGATATACGTATACAGAGTAGAAATGTAATCTTTAAATAAAAGTCATGTCATGTATTAAAAAATAGAAAAATTAATCTTAGAAAACTTATTTTCTGATTTTTAAATTTAAATGATTTATAAGGTTGATGTATTAGCCTGACTGACAAGTTCAAAAATAGATCCTGAAACAAAACATTCTTTTTATTGTAAAAAAGACTGCTGTAATCTACACCAACTATAAATAAAAACTAATTTTCTCTAAAAAAAAAGAGAGGAAAAAAGATTGTATAAACAATGTCTACGTGTAAAAGCATTAATTTATTTGTTGCCAGCAGATTTATTTATGATAAAGCATTAATTGTAATACAAATTTAACGCAACAATATCAATGTTAAATTGTAATATTTTTTTTTATCATTAAATTATGAAACGATATTTGTAGTAAAAAATAACTTAATTTTTATTACATAACGAATCATGTAAAAAAGGGGAATAAATGCATTTTAATTTTACTCCTCCAGTTCTCCGGCATCCATTGCGTCGCGATACGATTTATCTTTTGAACGATCTGGGTCCAATTTAATCATATCATCAATTCTAAGAATAGTTATTGCTGCTTCCGTTGCGAATTTTAAAGATTTTATTTTTGATATGGCTGGTTCCAGTACACCAACCTTTCTGTTATCTTTAATAGTACCTTCAAGTAAATCTAAACCAACCCTGTAAGACGTATTGGTATCGTGTTAATTATGTTGTTAGTATTCATTTTTTTATAACATTTATATAAAGATTCTGCAATAATGTATTAATCTCATTACCATTTCAAATCTACAAGATCTGCTTTCGTTTGACTGGAATTGTGGTAAGCTCGCAATTTAGCAACGAGATCAGTAGCATCCTGCGCCGCATTTACTGCTAATGTTTTCGGTATAACTAGTAATGATCTAGCAAATTCAGCGATAGCTAATTGTTCTCGAGAGCTCTGTAAAGTATACAAGCACAAATACAATTCAAGAACTAGTACCATCATATAAAATCAACTTACCAAAGATGTAGCAAAGTTTTCTAAGTAAATCGATAGTGCCGCCTCAACACAACCTCCTCCTGCAACTACGTTTTTACTTTCCAAAACTCGTTTAACTGCGCACAATGCGTCGTGTACGGATCGTTCCATTTCATCACAGTAATAATCATTTGGTCCACGTAATATAAGAGAACTTGCTGTCCTTGCTTTTGGTCTATCATAAACAACATGAATTCAGTTTTAATTTCATTTGGAATCAATTATGCTTCTCTTTGAAATGATTAAAATAAAACTAACCCTTTAATAAGAATAAGTTCATCGTCGCATATCATTTCTTGTACTACTTCAGCAGCTTCTCCAAGAAAACTAGACTCAAAACTTTCTTCTCCTTCCATGTTAGTTAAAGAAGTAACGAACTGTGCACCAGTAGCTTTTGCAATCCTTTTCAAATCTGCTTTCTTACATCTACGAACCGCCATTGCCTTAGATTCTATGAAATACTGAAAAAATATATAAGGTCAAAATATCGTAATTTTATTTTTACAATTTTATTCTTACCTTTAAACAGAGATCATCAATTCCACCAGACACAAGAATAACGTTTGTACCCGCGGCAAGAATTTTTTGAATACGTTCTTTCGTAATGTCTATTTCCCGTTGACGTACTGCTTCCAATTTTTCAGGATCAGTAATCAAGACTTCAACACCTAATTTCATCTTGGTCTTTTGTAGAGAAAAATCTAGACACGCGATTTTTGCGTTTACTATTCTTTTAGGCATTGCTTGAGAAGCTACAGTACAATTCAATGCATAGCCTTGTACTATTACAGACTCTCTGACACTTTTTCCATGAGCTTTCAAAACATTTACAGCTTTCACAGGATAAAGAAAGCCTCCTTTTCCGTCATTTACCTTTATCGCATTAGCGGCATCAACAACCATATTTCCAAAGAAATCGGCATCACTATCAATAAATTAAGGAAATAATAATTGTGATAGTAACATATGAATTACAGTTTTTAAATCAACTATACAATATGGTTAAGTAAAAATAAGGATACGCTGCAATAATTTTACTGGACATAGATGTTTTTGCTACATTAACTAAACAATCTCTTCCAAGTTCATCAACACTGACTGTTAGATGCTTTTGAATATATTTGCAGGCTTCTCTGAAACATGAGTAAAATGTTTATACAAAATGTTTTACAATAAAAAAATCAATTATTTAATAATTATATAAACACTTACTTGCAAGCAAGTCTGTAACCACTAATTACAGATGTTGGATGAATCTTCTGTTTAACAAGCTCATCAGCATTTTTTAGTAACTCAGCAGCAACTATTACCTGTACAAAATGATTTAATTATGCCATTTACAAGAAAATATAAATCATTAGAGTTTAGAATTTTCTCATATAAACAGATATAAATAATGTATAAAACAAAGCTTACAACTGATGTAGTACCATCCCCAACTTCTTCATCTTGTAATTGAGCTAACTCTACTAATACTCTTGCAGCTGGATGTTCCACTTCAAGCAAACGCAAAATCGTTGCACCATCATTAGTAACAGTAACATCCTACAATATTATTTAAAATGTATAAAGAACATATATATTTTAATTACATAATTACAATATTAAAATATAAATTTTACATACACCAATGTCATCTACGAGCATTTTATCCAAACCAACAGGGCCCAAAGAACTCTTTACTATATTAGCAATTGCACAAGCAGCCATGACTAAAGAAAACAATTTACATAATTATATTTAATTAATAAAATTTCAGTTTAATTAATTGACTTAAATTATAAAATAAAGATAACATTAATATATTATGGGTAGAAATAAAAATTGATATTTTTACAGTACAATTTCAAAGAACATAAATCTAATGTATTGAATTGTATTTAAAAGAGTACTTATGTTTAAATAAATATTAAATTAACATATAACCAAATTTGCACAAAATGTGCTGGCAACACACCATTCTGTGTTCGTACTGGAGCACCAGACTGTCGTACACCACCAACAGCCAAAGGACTGGCTACTGTCGACATTTTTTAATAATCTTTTTCACTTTTACACGATATTATAACAGTACGACGATCGAAATTTCGATTGCCGACAAAGTTTCGCAAGAGAATCCGCGTGTGGCTGTAATTAACAATGATGACCAGCGACGCCTATCCTTGTTACTTCCTTTTTGGGACAAGTTTGACGTTCGTTTTTCATTGGTTAACTTACTATGCATTCACTTTTTATTGGTTGAAAACTTATGAACATTTATTATATATTTTTTTTCTAGAAAGATCGTTGTTCCTATAGTTTTGTATAATACAATATATACAATTATAAACAATACATTTTCTTACTATTGACTGACATTTTTACATATTTACAATTTTCAATATGTATCAAAGTTGGCAATCGTTCACAACTATTGAATAGTTCAAGTGATTCAAGTAATTCGAAGAGAATAGAAATATTTTACGGTATGTAGTATCTATTATTTATTTACAATTATTAATTGGTATCTTTATGGCGTCATAGTTTTTTAAACAATTTATGTTTCAGATGAGTCTTTTAACGCATCTGTTTAGTCATACTTTACAAAACTCTAAATCTCTTGTAGGCAGTACTACTAGTAATTTAGGTTTGTAAAATTGTTTATATATATTTTTAAAATGTATGTTAGTTTTGAATAAGTTAACTTTTTGTTAACAGTCTGTGTAAGATTGGCATCAAAAAAATCTAGTGGTTGTACAAGAAATAAACCTGATAACCGAAGACCAAAACATAGAGGATGGCGTGTACAGGATGGAGAATTTGTTAGAAAGTCAACGATATTAGCCACTCAACTTAGGCCCAGATTTCATCCAGGACTTTATGTAAGTCTACATAATCAGCACATTTCCTGCTTATAATGTTTTCTATTTAGATAGTGAAAGTTACAAAATAATGTTAAAATTTGATTCCATTTTATTGCACAGGTTGGTATGGGTAGAGATGGTACGTTATATGCTCTGGAAGCTGGAAAAGTAATGGTTACTTGTGAAAAGATTGATCCAAATTTTAAACATGGATGGGCTATAATGAACTATGCTGGCAGAGAAGACAGTACTATATATAAGAAATACTTTAATGTTATACCTGAACCAGAACATGATAGATTTATTGCAGTTGATACTGTTTAAATAAAACTTCATAACTATATTTATTGTATAAATTGAAAATATAGGTATATAATAATTAAGAATGGAAGAATTGTTGTTCTATTCTTTTAATAGATTCAATTTCATACATTTTAATGTTTTCAAATATTTTCAAATGTAATATTTTCTGCCCACTGAAATGACTGATATCTTATATCATTTTGATCTTCAGAAAAAAAAGCATATACTTGTGTTTTTCGAACATGACATGCAGTTCGACATTGGGCAGAAAGTTCAGTTATTGGAATTTCATCATTTTTATCTTTGCATAGAATTATAAACTGAGAATGAAACATTATAGGATCTCCTACAAGAAATACAAGAAATTCAAATATTGATTTTAATTTTCTAATAATATTTAAACTGATTATAAAGTATGTTGTATGATATATACCAGGATATACCAAAAAATCTCCACCAAATTTTTCTCCATTTGTTACATAATATCCTTTTTCCCATAAATCTTTGTATGTTTTATATCGAAGTCTTTGTTTATAATTAGAAGGATATTTCCATTCTACTATTTCGATATCATCTTTATTAGCCCAAGGGTACACTGAAAACATATGCTATGAAATCTATGGAAGCACAAATACATTTTAAAAGCATATAAACTAGTACATCCTTTTCCTTTATATTTTATTACATCATCACCTTGATTTACCTGTATGTGTTTGAATTAAAGCTTCACTTTTATCTAACTTAGGTAATCTGGCCATTTCTTCTGCTAATAAATCTTGTTTATTTATTTCAATATTATTTAAAGTTTCTTGTACTTTTGGATCTAATGGCTTTTTTGCTTTCTTCTTCCTTGTATCTATTCCAAGTATTTTTCGTTTCTTTCCCTCTATAATTTTATCCATCATTCCAACAACCTGTTTTTTTCTCTCGTCTCTTAAGCATTTTTCTTGTTCTATAAATAATTTGTTCCTATATTCTTCAAAAGCTTGCTTTAATGAATCAGATGGTGGATTTTGGAAGCATGTATACTGTATAAGTCGTGCAATATTTTTTTCCAGCAAAAGTGATACTTCCTCTGATTGTAAAAGTAATGGAAGACCTGAAAATACTTCTTGCCTAGGTTTTTTTGGAAGACAGCCTATTAATTCACCAATTATTCTATGATTTTTTCTAAGCTTCAACCAGTCTAAAAAATACAAGTAAGAATTTATATTTCACGTTCTATTTACATTAATGTAAAATACATTTATGTGTGAAGTGTTTAAAAACAATAAAGTTATTACCTTCTGCATTCCATATGAAAACATTATTTCTTGAATATATTAAATCTATCATCTTCCTGAGTTTGTAATTTTATTTTTTCATAATAGATACTTCAGCCATAGTATTTATTATATACAACTGATAATATTGATATTATTTATTGTATATAATTATCGATATCAACAATGTTTACTGTGTATAAATATTAATTCATTATTAATGTTCTTCAATATTAATACCAATTAAATATGGGAATATGTATTCTTTAGAGATTCTGTAATTATGTACAGTTATGTTTCTTGCATATAGATCTAAGCGTTAGTTTGTTATGAATTTATACTCTGTGCAGAGAGATCATACCCAAATCGCGCAATTCGACTAACTTCAGCTGGTTCCCCACCACTAGTGCTCTCCCTTTATCATATGCTTTCCCCTATGTATTCATATACACGGTGGACAAAATATACAAAGAGTGGTAAAAATTAATAGTATAAAAAGTATACAAAATAAAAGATCATCAAGTATATATGTTAAAAGTTGGAAAAGCGCATGCACGCATTCCTTGGCTATGAAGTATATTCGAACCAATTGGAATTGACACGCGCAGAATGAACGAAAATTCGTCGGTTGATGAACACGGCTTCCCGTTGAACGAATATTCGATATTTAACGTTTCGATACTAAAAATATTTTAATTCGACAGATGTCGCCATCCATCATTTCTGAATAATTGTTTCGGGCAGAAGGGGAAGGAAGAAGGCTGTCGAACATCTGTCACCAAGCGAAGACTACGTCCGCTTTAGTCCCCAAAAACCGCAATACCGTCATGGCACCCGGTTTAATAATTTTTTAAAGAAAATTCAATACATTTGCAATCAAAGTCGCGTAGAAACGGCGATTCTTGTCTGTACGAATATTTGTTCATATTTGGTGAGTGATTAAATGATAGCAATTATCTTTGTTTACCACTTGCATAAAGAACAAATAAACCGGACTCGAAGGGCAAGCCCTTCCATTTAAGAACCTATACTTTTATGACTAACCTTTAAATTGAAAACGTGCATTACTTTGTTTATTTCAATTGGACTTATATGCTTTAATAATAGACTTTGTATTGCCATAAAACATACTTTGGTTATAACATTTGTTATATAGTGCTCTATTGTAATATTTGATAAACTATGAAGCAATAATTACGGATTGTATTATTATCTGGTAAATATAACTGGTTTTTCATTCAGTTATTCTATAAATGTGTTAGCAGTAAAGCGTTATTAACATAATATGCAATGTCATCATTTTTCCTTCATTAAGATATATTTTATATTTTCTTTTTATTCTAAACGTTGTAAACATAAAATGGTTTATTAAATTTTCCATATTAGGATTCTTTAATATGAAAATAATATTTATTTGTTGCTGTAGTCTTGGAAGTATGAGTTCAGGTAGACCGATCAAGTGTGTGGTGGTAGGAGATGGAACAGTAGGAAAAACATGCATGTTAATATCATATACAACAGATAGTTTTCCAGGAGAATATGTTCCTACAGTGTAAGTATTATTGTATATAAACATAAATATTCAAATTATTTGTTATGTCAAAAAGAAAAGATTTGTGTATATATAGAACTACTAAAATGATCCAAGTGATTTGCTTAAGGTTTCTTATTTTAATTATAGAATTTTAACCAAGTGTTTTTATCAAACTATATATAAACTTCTGTAATTATTTTGTGTTATATTTTCATAGCATTCTTTTGTATTTAGACTGTTTATGTATTATTTAATTTCTTGAAGATAAGTTTTATCATTTACATAGGTTTGATAATTACTCGGCACCCATGGTTGTGGATGGAATACCTGTTAGTCTAGGACTTTGGGATACAGCTGGACAAGAAGATTATGATAGACTTCGTCCACTTTCATATCCACAGACTGATGTTTTCTTAATCTGCTTCTCAGTAACAAGTCCATCATCTTTTGAAAATGTTACCAGTAAATGGTATCCAGAGATAAAACATCACTGCCCAGATGCTCCAATGATACTTGTTGGAACTAAAATAGACTTACGAGATGACCGTGAGACACTTACCGCCTTAGCTGAACAAGGTCTTAGTGCTATAAAACGTGAACAAGGACAAAAACTAGCAAACAAGGTTAGAACAATTTTCAAGATGAACTGTTTGTACAATAATTGTAATTTTATAATGTTGTCATAACAATACATTAATGAGTAATTTTAAATATAACTCATAGATCCGAGCAGTAAAATATATGGAATGTTCTGCACTTACGCAGCGTGGTTTAAAACAAGTTTTTGATGAAGCAGTTCGTGCTGTTTTAAGACCAGAGCCTCAGAAACGTAGACAGAGAAGATGCATTATGTTATAAACGCTAAATAATTGGGAACTAATCAATGTAGGTAAAACCACATATAAACTAACAGACTGAAGTTAATTTTGTCACAAGAAACAAAAAGAAAATATGAATATTTGGAAAAAAAGTAGCAGCCCAAACATTTTAATGAATTTTTCTGGCAGCTATAATTCATCATAATCATAAATAAAGTACAATTTCCAGCTCATAACTGTAAGCTACAAAATTGATATAAGACCAGGAATTTAAATAATATGGAAATATGACGTCTTTATAATTTTATAATTGATACTGATAAAATTAAATGAGACAAAAATTATTACAGATTTGCATGTGTTGTATGTGTAGCACTTTTAAGATGATTTTAAATATTAATGTACTAGTCAGAGGTTAAAGTATTTAATGAAATTGAGAATATATGTACTATTGTTTCTTACTTTTATAAAGTTATAATTTTCCTATGTTTATTGTCATTTTTTATACTTTTTTTAATATAATATTTCAACTAATATTTAAATGAATCTCATACTTTGAAGCTTTGATCAAGAGAGCTGCCAGATTTTGAAATTTTTATACCTATAATAGTAAAATATTCATTTAATATACACATATGATAGGTATTACAATCAATATACTAACAATTTTTATACAATGTAAAATAACATTCTAGAATTATTTAAACATACAGTGCCATAGCAACGAAAAAATCAAATCGATAATGCTAGCATTTTTTATGTCAGTTCTAGACAATATATGTATTTTATTACAGTCTCTTATTGGAGAATTAAAAAAAAACATACGAAGGAATTGAAGAATGTCATTGATAAAACATATTTTGTATTTACTTTACAAATTTCGATGAATGTTATAATTGTAATATTTCTTTACATATTAATAAAGAAGTACACTTTATGCATAAAATACTGCCAGAGAATATTCACTTGATGTGAACAATAGTTGTATATGAAACATTTTATTGTCTAGAATTCGAACATTCTTTTATTACTGCATAATACAAAACATGCTGTAATGTATTGTGTGTATATTCATATTTATTTTATTTTGACTCTTAATTAAGTAAGGATATTTTAAAAGGAATTTAACGGAAAAACATTTAAACATTTATTTTTGAAAACACTTTTGTTATTGTATGTGGCAGATACAATTTTATCGATTGTTGCACTGGTGCAATCTGTATTAATGTTTAAAGGCTCTAAATTATTTTTCATAGAAACTGAGAGTGTATCGTGAAAAAACTAATCAAAAAGGTATATATTAAATTATATAGGAAGGTTTATTACCAGTGACAAACATATGGTGCAAAGTATGCCTATATAATGAACAACATAGCACAATTTGTTTTGAAGGGTGACCATATTTTTAGTCTTCTGTTATTTTTATAAAATTAATTTACATGAATTTTCAAATTTAAAACAGTTAACGTGCTTTAGAGTAATAAATATATTGTACAGAACAACTTTTGTTCTTATATACATCAAATTACTTACATCTAATTTATTATAGTAACTTTTTCTTACGATATTGTAACATACTTTGTTTACATTAATCTACACTATTGAAACATTATTTTCATAGATATTACATGCTCTCTATAAAAGGACTCAATAAAAAAAAGATAGTGTGATGATGACTAACAAATATTCCATCACTCGCGAACATGCTATTTTTTTATATTCGGAAAAAGCTTAGAATGTAGAAAGATAGGTATGCGTGCCATATGCTTTCAAATTTATATGAATACCCACAATTTGTTTGTATTTGTACTCCATGTGAATTTCAAACGAATTAAAGATATATCATCATATTTAAAAAGATAAAAATTCCTAGTATAAGTGAAGGTGAACTAAGAATGAGGCATATTAACGTTTACTAAGTGTACATACTGTAGCATAGTGATAGCATGCTCTAAATTTCAATCAAACGCTCCGAAAAAAATGATGACATACACATATTCTATTTTCTCGTGAATATTTCAGTATGTACACGTTTATCATTAGAACAAGTAATCATATGATTGAAGTATAGAGTGTATTATAAGATGTTTGCAGTAAACTTTTTACACTTTTTTAGTAATTGGAATAATTTTTTAATTAGGCAATTTGTTCTTGGTATCTCTGCTACATAATATTAAAAATTTACGTTTCAGTTAAGAACATATAAACTATTTGTAGTTCCTGTAAAACGATATGTTTTTTTAATACTTAAAAGTGCACAATTCAGAATGTTAATATTATTCTTCTATAACAGCTTTAAGATTAGGAATTTTTCATATTATGTACATACGTACATAAATAGCACATTTATTACATAGAATGAACAAGTATCAATGGTTTGTTGTGTATTGATTGTATAGAGATTTTGCATTTATTGTAAGTAGTGCATTTATTTTACAATAGCTATTAAAGTTTACCAATCGTAATTAATTGAGAATAAATAAAACGAAGCACAATCTTCTAAATAATATTTAGATAGTATATAATAAGAATCTTTTTGCAGTATTACCATGTAAATAAAACCTTTTCTTTGTTACTCCAAAAGTTATTAATAATTGAAATTTTCTTTTTGTACGTCATAGTTGAAATATTATAGATTTCCGATTTATTCTAGCAACATTTGTTTGTAATTTTATTTTAAGCGAGAATAAGTACCTCCAGGCAGCTATTTTGAAATATTTAAAAGAAATGTTTATATGTGTACATGTGATATTTCTTATTTAGTAAATAGGAACGAAGTTGACGAACATATTAATAGTTCAACTCTGAATTCAGTTATACTGGTAAGATGAATTACACTACTTACAACTTGTGCATTTAATGAAAAGTATTTAATATTTTTTTTCTTTCTTTTTTCTTTCTCTTCCACTCTCTCTCGTTTCATAAGAAAGAAGAGCAACAGTAAAGAATGCTACAAACCAAAGTTCAATATTAATTTTAATATAACGCTTAAAATTTTATTACATATTATGGCATATAAGTATACAAAGAATGAATGTATGAAATGTAAAAATATTCTAGTCACCAAGAATCTGATTTTATTTGTACATGAAATATTTTGTTAAAATTTATATTTGATCACATCTAATCAATAAATAACTGATTATCTTTATCAAAAGAAGAAAACAATCAAACCAAAACAATAAAATGAACATGAAAGTATTAATCTAATTTAAGATATTGTCAATTTAAGTAATACAGAATAAACAGAACAAAAGGAATAAGAGTACATTAGAATACAAATGTATGTATATGTTCTAAGATAAATTAATTGTCAGTAACTTATAACATTTATCTATTTTCTTAAAATTTCTGTAAAATCAATTGTTTCTGTACTAATAAAGCAGCACAAGGGAGTATTACAAGAATAGAAATTGTTTTGTTATTATTTCTCATTCATATTTAATAATATCCACAAGTGTAATCTCTATAAAAGAAAGAAAAAATAATTTTTAATAATAAAAGATAGTAAATATTCTTATAAGGTTTCTAAAATATACTTTACATTATACTAAAAATAAAAATTGTTGATTATTTACTTAATATCTTTTTCCTAAAAATTTGTATGAGCCTTCCCTTTTGCTGCAAATATAAAATTAAATATAAAGATGACAATTTTTTAATTAATTTTAAATAATTTTTTTTCCAATGAAAAATTCAAATTATAATGTTGATAATATTCAAAATGTAATTGCATAAATGCATGTTTTACATAACACTTGGAAGCATTTATTTTTATTCATGTATATTTTAGCAACAATTTCTTAAAATAAACTACACAATAGAAATATTTGTATTTTTAATCAAAATCTTAATCCCACAGATTTATTAAAAATAGAAATTTTATTATTCTTTGTTGTATATAATTATTTTAATATTACAAATATATACTAAATTGTAAATTATAAGCATAAATAAATTATTAAAGATGTTTTTTAAAAAATATTAGATATGTGTAATTTATTGAGCATTTCAAATCATTCCATTCATTGACCTGTAGTCAGTGTTGGGCAGTCGTGAGATTTTATCTCACGCGAGAGCTTTATGCGCATGCGTCAGCTGACGTCACAGCTTGCTGCCAGTGTTGGGCAGTCGTGAGATTTTATCGCACGCGAGAGCTTTATGCGCATGCGTCAGCTGACGTCACAGCTTGCTGCCAGTGTTGGGCAGTCGTGAGATTTTATCGCACGCGAGAGCTTTATGCGCATGCGTCAGCTGACGTCACAGCTTGCTGCCAGTGTTGGGCAGTCGTGAGATTTTATCGCACGCGAGAGCTTTATGCGCATGCGTCAGCTGACGTCACAGCTTGCTGCCAGTGTTGGGCAGTCGTGAGATTTTATCGCACGCGAGAGCTTTATGCGCATGCGTCAGCTGACGTCACAGCTTGCTGCCAGTGTTGGGCAGTCGTGAGATTTTATCGCACGCGAGAGCTTTATGCGCATGCGTCAGCTGACGTCACAGCTTGCTGCCAAAAAGTAGTAATATGCGTAATAATGTTGATAATAATAGGACTAGTAAGGATAATTACAGTTCCTGCGGTGATAGTAGTCGTAATATGCGTAATAATATTGATAATAATAGGAATAATAAGGATAATGACGATAAAAGTAGTAATATGCGTAATAATGTTGATAATAATAGGACTAGTAAGGATAATTACAGTTCCTGCGGTGATAGTAGTCGTAATATGCGTAATAATATTGATAATAATAGGAATAATAAGGATAATGACGATAAAAGTAGTAATATGCGTAATAATGTTGATAATAATAGGACTAGTAAGGATAATTACAGTTCCTGCGGTGATAGTAGTCGTAATATGCGTAATAATATTGATAATAATAGGAATAATAAGGATAATGACGATAAAAGTAGTAATATGCGTAATAATGTTGATAATAATAGGACTAGTAAGGATAATTACAGTTCCTGCGGTGATAGTAGTCGTAATATGCGTAAGTAATTTGATAATAATAGGAATAATAAGGATAATGATGATAAAAGTAGTAATATGCGTAATAATATTGATAAAAATAAGAGTA